CCCTCCCCCCGATGTAACGCGGATGGGGGTGGGTAGGGCGTTCGTGCGACAGACATTTCGCGTCCGTCCATTTCCCACGGCTTGCATAATGCATGCGGCCGCTGGTTGCTTCGACGATGCCGACGACGACAACGACGATGTCACTCCCTCGAAGTCCCCTTTGCACTTATCTCTCCGATCGGCCAGACGGAATCCTGGTTCGTGGGTCACCGCCGGCTTTCAGCCTCGAGAGGAATCACGCGATACCTTTGTTTGTCGTTGCTCGACCCTCCACAGTCTCTTTCCACGGCCGATTGGTCAACACCTTGTCTCCGGAGGCTTCAACATCGAAACGTCTGCTCGATGCTGCATATGGGACGGATACAGATCGCATAGATGCAAGTAGGTGGAATGACTTTAATCCTTTTCCTCCCACACGTCCAATAATGTCAAGTTTTTTTTTCTTAATTGTAAAACAAGTTATTAGATCGCAAGTAGTTTCAATCTTTTCCCTCTGCAGCTTGTAAGGACGTTTTTAAGTTATTGTTTCAAATCATTAGATTGTTCGTCAGATTTAAAGGTAAGTGAAGAAATGACCAATCAAACGACAAATCGGATAATTGTCGGAATAAAGATTTAGAAGAAGATTTCTTCTATAAAAATTTCGGTATATGCACCTCGTCCTCTTCACGTGCTACGTCGTTGTTCAATATGTATGGGTAAAAATCTTCTTTCAAATATCTTTCTTGTCACGTTTTTCATTTGATATGACCTCTATTCTATCTCCCTTGAATTCTTATCAGGCATCTCATTCTTACATCGATATCTCGACTTTCTCGGAAAAAGCACACGTATTATGAATAAAAATTTCTGCTGTGATAATTTATAATGTGATGGATGTAGATAATTTCAGATAAAGTAAAATGTGAAAAATTAATATCTCGTTTTATTAAATGTGTTTAATATTTTTAACAATAATAATATTCAATAATAATATTCTATGTAAACACATTATATGTATATCATTTTATTAATTTAAATTTAATAATATCCACGGAACTCTCTTGCATTAAATTGCGTAGTTATACATACGTTTAAACTTATCATATAATTCCTATTTACGAACAATTCGTTACTGCAAAATAAAATAAAATAAATCTTTATCTGCCTTCATGTGCAGTTTTAATTATCCAAATTTTTTTTCCTTTTGTCGACATTTACTCCTAATTTGTCGGTCGTGATAGCATTTTGTGATCAAACGCTGCAAGTCATAAATTCTAGAAAGCGGAGTATTAAACGTATTAGCCAGTATTCTATCAACGCCCAGCACACGCTTGCATTTATTATTCGCGCGCAGTAAATCGATCGGCATTAAATGTTTATGACATCGAAAGGATCGCGTTCATAAAACGCGCGTATCAACGTGAAAACTGAACCTGCCGCGCGCAAGAGTTTGATTATGAATGATATGCGACCGGAAAAGTTAATTTTCCTTTGAATACAGAAAATGCTGGGCTGCGTATATAAAAGTTACTCGATTTTCGTATATATCTTTGTGGTAATTATATGAAATTAAATATCTGCCTTGTCATTAAAGAAAATTCGTAAGCAGCCATGCTCAGTGCTCAGATGTTAAATTTGTGTATACGAAAAGAATAGTTTTGCTGAAATATTGAAAAATTTGACTAAATCTGAGAATTTTGCTGAACCATCAAAATAATTATAGATACTGTAGAATGTTTAAACGTTGATGATAATGCTGCAAAAAGTTTTTGACATGCTAGCAACTAGTTTGAGCGTCTTAGATAATTATTTTGATTTTGTTCAACAAAATTACTTTCAGATCCGTATCTAATTGCTAAATTTTTAGATACCAGCAAAATCATTCTTTATACACTGTGAAAATTTTCTAGTTTAAAATGAACGAACTAGAAGATTTTGATCAATCAGCATTCTGAAATATTTCAGAAATATAATAGATTCAGAAAATTCTGATTTGTCCATTTTCAACCAGAATTCCAATTAATGCAATCAGATTCTTTTCCTAGTGTACAATATTTCTAGAATCAATGATATAGTGCATACTACGTACATTTTACGAGAAACGTTACAGAATTTATAGAAAAAAAAAAACAAAAATATAAAACGCAAAATTAAATAGAAATTGTATGAATGTTGCAGAAGCTATCAGTTTTTTTCCGCGGGATATTAACGCTCGTGTAAAAAACAATATATATTCGTTTCACGCGGTCTTCTAAAATTATTTAATCAAACGCAAGAATTTACTACGTAATTGGAAGATTCCCCCATCGTAAAAATCATGCTATTATAGTAACGTTACGAGCGAAAGTACGTGCGTAACTAGCTGTTTGAATTTATATCACAAATTTTTGTTGCGTTTTTTTTATGGATACATTCGCTCTGCGACAATATTGGGGGGAATTATATTTATCTTTCTTTCCCTGGGAATAGTTCAGTAAAAGGTAAACGGAATCCTAAAAATTTCGGCTATACTGTTATTGACGTGTGAAAAAAACTAGTTTGTCAAATACATTTTTGATACGATAAACGTAACTACACGTATATGTACTTTACACTGTTAAATCGAAAAAGGAAAAGAGACAGCATTGATAACTAATGCAATCTCTTCAATTTTAATATAATATTTTATTATTTTTAACTTCCATGTGTGTCAAAATATAAATCAATCCATTTCTGTGATTATATAATCTGAAAGTAAACAATGTTAACGTTACACTAAGTAATAAACTAAGTAGTATCTGAGTCAAATGTATTAAATTTGACTCGAATTTAATTTATTATTTACTATTTAGTTTATTAAATTATTATTACTGACAATACTAACAATAAGTAGTAATAAATAAAAATAATACATTAAACTTGTACCAAATTTAATACAGTTTCTTGAGTTAAGTTGTTTAACTTTACTGTGTTCTTTAAATTAACAATATATTGAATAGAAATAGCGTAAGAATCGGCGATCTAAAGAAATGATAAAAATAACTTAAATTATGTATAATATCTGGTATTATGAATTTAAGAATGTACAGTTTCATACTTTCTCCGAAATTAAAAGTCAAAAGAAATCACAAATAAATATAATTTCGAAAATTAATGGTCTTTAAAGAACATTCAAAGGGATTAAATATCACAAAATCGCCTAATTTTTATTCAAATCAATAGACTTTAGTTCAATGTATAAAATAAAAAAGCTACGAATAATTAAACCCGCCAAATTTTTATTAAAGAATTGATCGAAGAATCGACAGGTATTACTTTGGCGATATAACTGTGCGAGCCATCCACTTCTGTATCGGTTTCCGCGCGGCAACGATGGAACGGTTTCAGATAACTACCATTTCGTTTGTCCTCTGTGACATCTTTTCAGTCGAATATGTACCGAGTATAAACGCATCGTGGAATGTATGAGAGAGAGAGAGAGAGAGAGAGAGAGAGAGAGAGAGAGAGAGAGAGAGAGTCGGGCTACAGCCATCTTTCATACTTTGACTTCCGGCGAGATGAGTATGAGGTATCGCTTTGCATGGTACCGTCTAGTTCTCGGATGGAGACGGATGATGGATCTACCGGGGCTGTTTTATGATTACGTGCCCGACGATCTTTCGTTGCTTTCTTGGCATCGCGACGGCGCTGGCTCCTATTTCGCGCGTCAGTTCAGCCGTTGTCTCGTGATACGTGCCCGAGGTGTAATGAATAATCCTCAAGATACACTACGGAAACGTGCACACCAAGGAGAAAGACCGCGCGTTAATATCAGGACAGAGGCGTGTAAGGACTAAGAAAGAGTTGCGACAAAATTCGCTTTAAGAT